TATGGTACATTTACACAATGGAATACTATGCAGCTATGAAAAAGAGGGGTCAATTACCCCTTGAGACATCATGGAGGGCCCTGGAGATGATTATGCTAAGTGAACTAAGCCAGTCAGAGAAAGACAAATATCACGTGATCTCGCTTATATGTGGAAACTGAAGAACACCATACCCTGATGAATAAAATAGAACCAGAGGCATGGAAACATGGAACAGACTGACAAATCTCAGTGGGAAGGTGTGAGGGGTGTAGAGGAGATTAACCAGAGGATTTATATGCATATATGCATTGGCCATGAATACAGAGAATAGTGTGGTGAAGGCCTGGGGCCCTGTGGGAACCAGAGAATAGATGGTGGGAGGAAAGTGGGAAAAGAGGGGGAGACATTTGTAATACTCTCAACAATAAAGATATAAAAATAGCAATTGCATAGATTTCAGATCTAGTATGAATATTTCATAAATATATATGGGACCAAAAATGACCCCAAATAGCCTCAATAATCTTGAGAAAGGAACAAAGTTTGACGTATCACATTATCTGATATCAAACTATAATACAAAGCCGTAGTAATCAAAACAGAATGGTATTGGCACAAGAATAAGTATATGGAACAATGAAACAGAATAGAGAGCACAATAATAAACCCAACAACTTTGTGGTCAATTAATATTTGCCAAAGCAGGCAAAACATACAATGGGCTAAAGACAGTCCATTCAATAAATGATATTATGAAAATTGGACAGATACATGCAAAAAAATGTATCTAAACCACTAACTTACACCATACACAAGAATAAACTCAAAATGGATTAAACACAAGTGTGTTCCAAAACTATAAAAATCCTAGAAGAAAACATATTCAGTATAATCTCAGACATTTCTCATTGAAGTTTTTTCTGCCACTATATTTCTTTGAGCAAGGGAAGTAAAGGAAAAGATAAACAAATGGGACTTTAGCAAACTACAAAGCCTTTGCACAGCAAAATAAACCATCAATAAAATGAAAGGGAACCCATTGATTGGGAGATTTGAATGATACATCTGATAAGGGGTTAATTTTCAAAAATATATAAGGATTTATACAATTCAACACCAAGAAGGCAAACAACTCAATTAAAAAATGGGCAAAGAACCTGAGTAGACTCTTCTCCAAAGAGGATATATAGATGGCCAATAGACATATGAAAAAAATGCTCAGTGTCACTAATCATCAGAGGGATGCAAATTAAAAATTAAAGCTATGATGAGGTATTACCTCACAACTGTCAGAATGGCTATCATTAAAAGCAACAAGTGATAATGAGGATGTAGAGAAAGGGAATATTCATGCCCTGTTGGTGAGAATGCAGACTAGTGCTGCCACTGGAGGAAGCACTATGAGGTTTACTAAAAAAATTAAAAATGAAATGGCCTTTTAATCAAGCAATCCTACTTCTGGGAATATATCCACAGAAACCTGAAACACTAATGCAAAAGAATATGTGAACCCCTGTGTTCATTTCAGTGTTATTTACAATACCCAAGATCTACAAACAGCTAAAGTGACTATCAGATGAATGGATAAAAAAAAAGCTGTGGTATATTTACACAATTGAATACTACTCAGTTGTAAAAAATATATAAAATAATGAAATCTTACCTTTTGGGTCAGCATAGATGGACCTGGAGAGTATTAGTCTATGCCAGTCAGAAAAAGACAAATACAATATGATCTCACTTATATGTGGAATCTAATGAACAAAATAAACTGACAAACAAAATAGAGAGGCATAGATACACGAAATAGACTGACAACTATCAAAAGAGAGGCGTGGGGGACTTGGTAAAAGAAGGTGAAGGTATTAACCAAAAACTACATTATAACCAAGACATGGAAACAATCTACGTACCTATGTGTCCTCCAAGGGTGAATAGATGAAATAAATGTGGTACGTGTGTGTGTATATGTATATAACACCTAGACACAGACAACTGTGGTGATAGCCAGAGGGAAAGGTGGGGTAGATATGTAGCTTTTGGCAAAGGGGGTGGGATACTAGTAAATGGAGATGGAAAGAGACTTTGCTTTGGGTAATGGATGCATGATGCAGTATGCAGATGATGTTCTGTTGAGTTGTACACTTGAAACCTCTATGGTTTTGTGAACCAATGTCACCCCCATAAATTCAAATTATTTTAAAAACAATGAAAATACATGACAGAGACTGGAAATAATTTGCAAAACACATATCTGGTAAAATAATTGTATCCAAAATGTAGAAAGAATTCTTAAAAATGATCAACATTAAGGAAACTTATTTATCTAAAAATAAAAGACCAATAGTGGAATGGTGGACCCTTGACATCATGCATTTGTGAAAAGTCATAGAACTATATAACACAAAGTGTCAGTCCTAATGTAAACTGTAGATTTTCATTAATAATAATGTTGGGCCTACAAAAAAACATAGGGGAAATACTGAATGGCATTGGTCTTGGCAATGAGTTTTTTAAATATGATATCAAAAACACAAGCAACAGAAACAAAAATAAACAATTGGGACTACATTAAACTACAAAGCTTTTGCAAAGCAAAAGAAACAATTAACACAATGACAATGCAACCTACAGAATAGGAAAAATGTTTGCAAACCATATATCTGATAAAGGATTGATATTCAAAATATATAAGCAACTCATCTAACTCAGTAGCAAAAACAAACAAACCCAGTAGTCCAATTAAAAAATGGACAGAGTATCTAAATATATTTTTTCCAGAGAATTCATACAGATGGCCAACAGATACATAAAATTTGCTCAACATCACTAATCAATCAGAGAAATGCAAATCATAACCACAATGAGATATCACCTCATGTATGTTATAAAAAAGACAAGAAATACAAGTGCTGGTGAGAATGTAGAGAAAAGGGAACCCTTGTTCACTGTTGATGGGGATGTAAGTTGGTGAGTTACAGTGAAAACAATATGCAAGGTCATCAAAAAATTTAAATTAGACCTGTCACATGATCCAGCAATCCCACTTCTGAGTATATATGGAAAGAAAATGAAATCAGAAACTTAAAGAGATATCTGCACCCCCTTATGTTCATTGCAGCATTATCCACAATAACCAAGAAACAGAAACAACCTACGTGTCCTCCAGTGAATGAATAGATAAAAAAATGTGGTACCTGTGTATGCATGCAAATAAATACACATATACATAGAGAAATATTATTCAGCCATAAAAAGAAAGAAACCCTGCCTTATTGAATCATAGATGGACTTTGAAGGCATTGTTCTGTGTGAAATAAGTCAGACAATAAAACAAATACTATATGATCTCACTTATATTTAGAATCTATAAAATGAAAACTTATAGAAACAGAAAATAAATTGGTGGTTGCCAGGGGCTGGGGTTTGGGGAAGTGGGAATATGTTGTTCGAAGGGAACAAACTTCCAGTTATAACACATAGTTCTTGGGATATAATGTACACTATGGTGACTATAGTTAACAATACTTGTTATATACTTGAGAGTTGCTAACAAAGTAGTTTTTAAATGTTCTTATCACAAAAAACGTAATTATGTGAGGCAGTGGATGTGCTAGCTAACCTTATTGTGGTAATCATTTCTCAATACATATGTCTATCAAATATCACGTTTCACACTTTAAACTTATACAGTGTTCTGTGTCAATTATATTTCAACAAAACTAGAAATAAAAATAAGAACAAAAACAAAACAAAAACTACTGACTTTTAGAATAAAACCAGTTCCTTCCCACTGACGGGCCAATGGCTGATGGTAGCTTAATATGATACTACCTCCAGGATAATGGGATCAAATCATCAAACACAGGCAAACAAAAAAGCTATAATGTTAAAATTTCAGACACTGACCAGCAGATGAGGAAGGTATGTGGAAGCAGCAGAGAGGTCTTCCTTGCATTCTGAATCAGATGCTGTATATCTCAGCCTATTCTATTCTGAATATAGATTAGGATTAAACTTTAAGTTTAGGCCCCTGGTTCCAAGAATTTTCCATTCAAGCAGATTTTGCTTTGATAGTTGCAAACCCTCCTAATGAAAGTTGATAAATTACTGAAGTGTTCCATTTGAAATGTCATAAATATATTCTAAGTCTTCCTTGTGTTCCATGAATCATATTTTCTGGTGGTGAGTTCGCTTTCTCCCTCTATTACCAATGTCACTTTCCTATTAAATACAGTTGCATTACTCTCAACCTGGCATAGAACACTTGCTTTTAGAAAAACATTTCCCTCCCCTAAACACCTACCCTGAAGTCACTAGTTTTTAAACAGGCTCTTTTGACACTTCCAGGGGGAATGGAGGAGGGAGAAAATGTTGCTTCACATTAAATGGATATCATTGGGTTATTGGCAGCACCAACCCTGCATAATGGATTATGGTCTCTTTTTTAAAAAAATTTATTCATTAAGTTATTACATATGTGTCCTTATCCCCACATTACCCCCCCCCCACTCATGCTCTCACCCCCCTGTTGTCTGTGTCCATTCATTAGGCCTATATGCTAGCACATAAGTCCTTTGGTTGATCTCTCCCTTTTACCCCCACCCTCCCCTACCTTCCCTCTGAGGTTTGACAGTCTGATTGATGCTTATGGTCTCTTGGAAAGAGCTCTGAACTGAGAAGTCAAAGAATGTGGATTCTAGCCCTTGCTTTGTGACATTGGGTATGGCATTTCCCTACAGGTCTCAGTGTCTTCATCTGTAAAATGGATGATGGCAACATCCCAAATTTCTCAGTAATGCTGTGTAGATGGCAAAGCATATGTTGCTGCAGTAATCACCACACCATTCCAAAATCTGTGAAGGAATGTAAATCTTCCCTTGGTGATTTTCAGTTCCAGTTCACACTCTCTAAAATGGATGCTTTGAAATGTCTGCCCATAGTGGTCAGTGGGTAATTTGAGAAGTCCCTTGCTACGTAACTTATAACTTTTCCCTTTGATCTTTCATCTACTCTAGGTGTCAACTCTGCCCGCTCAGTTCCTCCTTCCTACCCACCACCGCAGGACCCATTAAACCAGGGCCAGTACCTGGTCCCAGATGGCATCGCTCAGTCACAGGTCTTTGAGTTCACCGAACCCAAGCGCAGCCAGTCACCATTCTGGCAAAACTTCAGCAGGTTAACCCCCTTCAAAAAATAGTACCTACAGGGAGGCAGATAATTTTAAAATAAAGTAAATAAAATTATATTTATAGATGGACCTTTTTTCGGAGAAGCACTGTTGAAATTTATAAATATATATATGGACATATACACACACAGAGAGACCCTTGAGTGTACACACACACACACACACACACACACACACACAAGGACCAAAAACGTTTTCTGTTCTTTGGGGGAAGTGAAATCTATAGTTGGTAGGAAGAGGTATCAATGACTTCTAAACATTTGATCTCTTCTTAAAAGTTTTTTTTTGTTTTTCTTGCTCTATCCCCTTCCCCTTTACTTTCAGAAATTGACATTTCTATTTGTTCCTTTTCTTGTTGAGATAATCTCTTTACTCCCCTGAGTGATTCATTGACTTGTCATTATTACCATAGACGTGTTTATATTGTTTTTTTTCTTTCCCAATGATACTGATGCTGATGACTTTTTAATTTAATTTAATGTGGTGGGTTTGGGAGTTTAGAATTGTTTTTCCTTTTACTTTTTACTAGGTAAAGAGAGGGTCTTCTTTCTCCTCTCCTTCAGCTGACCATCTATCTTCAAATGTTTATGCAGCCCTATAGTTGCCCCAAACAGCCTTTTCCCTGCATCTTCTGTTCTCAGTTGTGTGAGTCTGGATGTGCTCTGTTGTGCCCTGTGACATAACTACTCAATATTCCTATTGCTTTCACTGTGTTTTAGGTATTGTAGAGGGATCAAAACCAAACATAAGCAAGGGCATGTCAGAGTATAATGATGCAGGAGAAGACTTCTGTTCAGGGAACATTCTGCATTTGGGCTATTTCTTCTCCTAGCACTGGGGTTTCCCATGTTGCAGCACTACTGAGTTTTGTATCTGGGATTTAGTTTCACAAATTATTCTGTTCTTCAAGATGCTTTGATTATGGTTTTCCTTCTAAGCCTGTCCCTCTCCTAACCTAAAAGATCTGAACTGGAAGCAAACAGGCTAAAACTCTGCCTCCTGTTGGAGGGATTCAACTGCCTCCAGTACCAAATAGATTTAAGAAAGGGCTCCCCACTGCAATCAGTTTGAGGGCCTGTTCGTCCCAGTTTCCATTTGCAGATTGTTTAGGCAGCATTGATAGGAGTCTATAAATGGATAAAGATAGAGTCTACCCTACCTTACCAAGATCATCATCTGTCTTTAAATTATTTACCTAGAGAAGATCCAATGCTGAACAGCAACTTCTTACAGGAAAAAAATGGGTAGGTATGGAAATAGACAGCCTTGGCCTAAGATATGTACCTGCAGTTCCTACCATTCAAGTTATTTGAGACTTCCCTAATTATTAGCAGATTGCATGGACAATCTCCCTTTTCTTCCCCTCTTCCTATCTTTCTTCTTTTTCCTGCTCTATTAGCACCGGAAGATTGGTGGTATTGCCATAGTTAAAGCACTCTGGCACTTGAAAAAGGCCCCATTTCCAACATTGTCCCATCTCAGGACATTTGAAGGAAGTAAGGATTCCAGGGGGATTTTTCCCTATGGAGAAAGGATCTGAGACAGAAATTCCATACTTAGGCTCATTTTGGGGCAGGATTTACACTGGGGTAATACTAACTTCTCCCATAAAGAGTTCCCTGTGGGTACAGGAGTACTTGCTTCTCCCCACATGGCCCCTTGTGTGGATAGATGTTGAACAGCAAGAAGAATGGAGTACAAAGAAGTAAGGATTGACCTTGCTATGGAGAACTCTAGTGAGGAATCTGGAGATTGTGAGTCTGTTCAGAACCCCTTGGGAGAAGACTGCGTCATGAAAGGACCTCAGCTTACTAAGCAGTAACCATGGCTGCATGGGTCCCTCAGTGTAGCTGGCTTGATTGCTGCTCTATGACTCCTGACCCAGACCAGTCCTACCCAGCCTGGGAATTTTTCTTCTGTGGGAATCAAACTGCAAGTTGTTTCAGCTTCCATTCAGACTTGTGGAATGAGCCAAGGATAAGCTTGAGTTGGGCAGAGGGCCAGGGCTTGGGACTGGCCACCACTGCTCAGAACATGACCCAGCTACTTAATCACCCTTGGCAAGGAACCTGTACCTAGTGCATAAGATAAAATGGTCTCTCTGGCAAGCAGAATGTGTTTCAATGACTGGGTAGGCCTTTCTTGAACTTACATTCTTTCCTACTTGCCCCACTACGCTTGGCACTGACATGTTTCTATGTGGTCTTGGAGCCCACCAAAAGGGGATTCTCAGACAAGTCCCTGGGCCTACAATATCTCTTGGTCAAACCCCTTTGTCCCTGTGCTCCCCTAGACCTGTACCCAGAGCTCCATGATCAGGGATATTGCCTCTTGCCATCCACCTCCCATCCATCTATCTCTCATCCACCCAACCCACTGGCCTCACCGGATGCCAATGACTTGTGAAAACATCAAGAAATAAGTTTTCCCTTGGTTGTAGTGTTCCCCCAGCCTATTGCAGCAAATCAAACCAGTGGCCAGCAGCCCCATGGGGAGTCCCATTATCTGGGCTCATGGTCCAGTCCTATTCTGTGTCCTCACAGCAGTGCTATCCCTAAGAACTCTGTAAATCTTTGTTTCTGCATGGCCCTGAGCTCCCTTTTCCTCAACTCAATGAGGCCTGGATTTGCTCTTCAAAAGGCTTTGCTATTGTGTTCTATGGGCCCTGCTGTGGGATGGTCCTAACACAGAAACTCAACTCCTCTTTCTCTCTCCCTCTCCCCCATTCTCTCTATGTGTATATCTCTAATGGATTTATAAGAACAGCAACAAGAGAGTTCTAACAGTTCTAGTGTAAAGCCAAATAGTGATCTTTTAGTGCTTTGGGGTGGGCTGGGGTGGTTGGATGGGCAACAGTGATTTTGATTACCCCTGCTGCTCTGCATTTGCCAGTTTATTTTATTTCTCCTAATTGACTGTTTGACCCTGTCAAACAAATGTCAAAGTTGTGTGTTTAAAAAAATGTTTAACAACAAAACTATGATGTTGTAATGACACAAAGCCTTATGAAAATATTTATGGAGTTCAATAAAAGAAGTAAAAAGACACCTCAGGCATAGCTCTCGTGCCATTTTTGTGTGTATATGTGTGTGTTTGTTTCCCAATAGCAAAATAAGGGGAATTTACCTGGTGGGGGGGGGGGCAGCTTACCCTAGCTTATTCTCAGCCTGCATCCCTGCTGTACCATTGCCAGGCAATCCATAGGCTATGACCTTTCATGTTCTTTCTGGAAGAGTTGGTCACAAGAATCAAATATGATCCTGTAATGGGGCACTTCAAGTGCCTTTACTGATGGGACTGTCCTTCAGGTTACCTGGCTCTTGGACCAGACTTCAAAGCCCATTCCTGACCTTGCTCCTTTTCCTTGTAGCTGTGAGTTCAGTACCTGCCTGTAACTCATGGAATCATAAAAGTTGTTTTATGGACCCAGCAAGAGACCATCTCAGTTAGGAGTCCCCTACCCCCAGTTCTTTCTTAATGCTTCTGAGTCCATCTCCTCAGAGGTAGGTTCATTACCCAAAGCCAGTGGAGTGACCATATTGTTTCTTTCATCATGGTGTTACATATATATATACATAGATGCTCCTTGCTGCCCACAGACTCCCAAGTGATGTCTTAAGCTGCCTATCAGAGACACCACAGTGGGTCTGTATATTCTGGCACCGCCTCACCTGCCCTTCTTGAGAGCAGCTAAACACTGACCCTAATAAAGTACTTATTTACTGAAAGGTTTTAGGGTGTAAGCCTTGTGTGTCTAGACCTTGGGGATATACCCATCCACCAGGATTTGGAGAAAGAGATAATTAAACCATCTCCTTCAGTAACCTTTTACCCTTTCTTTATTTCTCCTCATTTAATCTCTTTCTCTACTGCCCTCATGGGGTATGCCATCTCGCTCCACCAAACTCAAAAGTCTCAGTTCTTAGCAGCCATCTTCCCCAGCTACCAGACTTGAATCTCAATTACCTCCTGCAGAGCAAGAAGACTGCACCTAGTCTTAGTGTTCCCTGATGACCTTATGTAGGTACTACAGTAGAGAGTGGGGAAATAAATAGTGGGGGTCTTACACTCCTGGATGCAGCTGATTCTTTCCTAAGGTACCTAAAATCAAGCACATCTTATCACCAGAAGAATTATTTATGAAAGCCCTATATGGTCTACATGATAAATCCATATTATTTATTACCATAAAGGATGGCCTTACTAACTTACAAACTTATTTGCTAAGAGCATTTTACCTATTCCTGCCCTTAGTTTTATTCACTGATGAGAGTACAGTGGGGCCTTGACTTACAAGTATCCCGACTAACGAGTTTTTCGAGATATGAGCTCTCTCTTGGCCGATTTTTTGCTTTGAGTTGCGAGCTAAAATTCGGGTTATGAGCCAACTTCAGATACCCCACTGCTAGTTGGCACAGCGAATGTCACAGTGAATGCCACAACATCAGCCCAGCATCACGTGTCTCACTCGTTCACAATTGATTTGACATACGAGTAATTTGAGTTACGAGCTCCGTCATGGAATGAATTAAACTCGTAAGTCAAGGCCCCACTGTACTGCTATATTCATTGATGTAAGTGTCACTTGCCTCTCTAATTACTAAGTCTCCAAATTGCTTTGCCTAATTACTAAGATTTTCCTCTTGACTGGGAGCAGAGGTGGCAATGGATTTCAAGTATCATTTTCAGAAGGTCTTCAAAAGGGGAGAGCCACAGGGCCTTTACCAATTTCAAGATCATTGTGTTGACTTGTTCGACTTTCCTCAGGATTTTCTGGGAGGCTGAGGGGTCAGGAGAGTTGTCTTTGTGGTGTGTCCAGATGGCCAGAACTAGCATGGAGAAAGGATACTCATCCCAGCTTCCAGGAAAGGCCTCTTCCCAAACAAGTCCTCCCTGACCTATCTCTATCCTGGAAAGGTTCCCACCAGCTGTGATGGGGGAGGCTTATGGCTTGTCTAAATACAAGAATTCCTAGTATTTTCAATGACCTTATATATAATGGTCTCTTTTAATCTTTATGACAACCATTTATCAATGGTGGTTGTTA